TTATTTTTTTCTAAAGCCATGAACTCCAAGAACTAATTAACTGTTATTATACCAAAGTTTTGTGGCCAGTACAGTGTGCTCCTATGAATGCATTCAATCTGAGCCAGTGTGTCAGACTGGAGGGATCCTTCTGGTTTAAAAAAGGAGGGAAGGGGAGTTTGATTTGGGGCCATCAAGCAGTATATCACTTCTGATGGCTAGGTTGGAACATGCCTCCCTTATGTGATCACTATCACTTCTTTTTCATACCTCTCTTTTCTTTGTCCCCCTTTGTTACTTTTTTGTTGGCATATGCTAATGAAAATTTGATTTTTGTAGAAACAAAAAGTTAAATAAAAATTGTAATGCACTCTACTTGTATGACTTGTATTTCATTAAAATGGACTACAGCTGTCAGAGACCATTTGATACAGTGTCTCAGCATTGCTGTGTTTTATCAAACTGGTGGTTCCTCAACATTTTGATAAATAAAATGTTTCTGTTTAAATAAGAAAATCAGGCTGTTTACTTTTGCTCTATTCCTGTCAACAAAAAGGACTTGGCTACAGAGTTGTTCTACTTCCACTATTTTCCTGCTTGGATTAATATCAGTCTTCCATTTATCCTTTTCAGGCGCCTCCTTGGCATTATAACAAAAAAAGATATCCTCCGTCATATGGCCCAGACGGCAAACCAAGACCCCGCCTCCATAATGTTCAACTGAAACCCATAGCTGAGGAGAGAGAGGAAACGGAAGAGGAGGTTCATTTGTTGAATAGCACAACACTTTAGTCTGGGGAAAACTTCTAAAATCAGAGACGAGCTGGGTTTTTACGTAACAGTGCTGCTGGCAATCAGGAGTCAGTCTGGGGGAGCATGTGGCGAGGAAGGCTGATGGGAGTGTGGGAAGGGAGAGCTGCTGTCCTGCACTGGATGCGTCCCGAGACATCAGGTCTGCCATGATAGTGCAGTGGGTGAGCCGTGCAAAGTGGTGCCATTCTCCAGCCCAGCCTGGTACTTCAGCATTGAAGAGATGTGTTATTAATCCCTGTTTCTGGAGGGATCATTCTGAATTGAGCTATCTTGTGGAGACTGAAAGGTCTTGCCCTTTTTACCATTGAAAACTGTTGTGTTAACTCATGAAACGTATTAACTATTACTCGTCACCTTTCTACATTCCAGAAGAGCTTTATTTCTCTCTCTCCTGAGCCGTAACAAAGCCTCTTTAAAATTGGTGTGCCCTTTTGAAGCAGTTGTTTCTCATATTGAGATGTACTGTGAGTTACTGAGGTGTGATCACAAGAAGGGAGGTTTTTCTTGTGCCATTAAATGTGTAAGTTCGTACATCACTAAACGCTTGGGGCAGTGCAGATCCACTGCAACAAAACCAGATTGAACAGGTAATACTTTTCAAGAACCACGTGAGACTTCTTTCAACCCATGTGCTATCATGATATGAGAAAACTAAAACCAGGTGAAACCAGTATTTTAAAGAAAGATACTGGTTTTGCTGCAGAAAATATCAATAATGTGACCTGGTCTTATGCAATTTTTGTATTATTGAACACACTATTATATATACCAATGTTGTGCAGTATAAGGAAAAATACTGCTATTCTACTAGTTTAAGAGCTGGAACAATTCTGTATACGTGTATCTGGTAAAAAAATGCATGCTTCAACACTGGAGATCTTTTCCCCCCCTGTAAAATTTGAGAATGGTCAATTTTATTTTTGCTTCTCCACAAAAGACGTTCCACTGCTGACATGGTAGGAAGAAATGTAACTCATAATTTGCACTAAATGTATATTATTTTTCTTGAAGTTTTACCATTCTTTATTTATATTTGTATGGATTAAAAAAATCTATTAAATATGAATCAGTTAATATCTCACATAACTAATTACCTTTTTAATGTGATTTTATAGAATAATTCATAATCCTCTGCAAGTAACGGAGGATTAGCAAATGTTTACAACTAGATGAAGGGTTTCAAGAAAATGGCTTCTTTATGATCCAACATACATACAAGATCATTTTCAAATGTAACTTTCACTGCCGTTACCTTGGATTTCCTTCTTTCTTTACTAGCAGATAACTGGAACAGTAATAGTAGGGTTTTATTTAAAAAAAAACCAACTGTAGGGTTTCAAAAGTAATAGGAGAAAGCAACTCTTAGATTGCTTTTGACTCTTCTTTTCTCCCAAGTATATAAAGGTGTAAATTATATGTAGTCAAACCTGAGCAGCAGGGCAGAATTGAATCCAGTACTTGAAACTTTGGCAGGACTCTAAAATTCAGCAACACACACACACTCGGAGGTGAACTGACAGACCCCTAACTTCTTTACAGTACTTTGTTTTGTTTCCTATTCATTTAACCAGACCACCACCAGAACTGCAAGCAGAGGAAAAATGACAATATGCTATAAGCCTAAATTAGGAAGGAAAAAAAATTAAATCTGGCTGACAAAAATAATGCATTGTAATATAAGGTTGGATAAAATTTCTTTAACAATTATGCTCGCAAGACTGCAAAAATGGCAAGAATATAAACACTAAAAGTCTAACATAATAATCTTAAATATCTCTGAGGCATTCATCACAGTTACCTCAAACACCTTCACAAAGTAGTTAGTATGATTTTATCTTAAGTACAGTAACACAATGAACCAAAATTCTGGCACTTTAGCTGAGCTGCACAAAAATGGCTGTGCATAAATGCATTGCTGAATTTGAACTTTTTTCTTAGAAAAAACTGCCATCTACATTTTATCATCTCAGCAACTGGAACCAGTAGAAAGTGAAATGTGCCAGGGGGATCACAGTGATCAGGCCCTGTATTAAAAACAGGTTTGGAAATGAAACAGGGAATTGGGCTATGTAAAAATGGGAGCATGGCAACAACCAGCTGTACTCTTCCATGGGAAGTCAGTGCTAGTTGTTAAAAATTTGTTCTGTTACATTACATAAGCTTGAAGAAGAGGAAGCTTCACAAAGAGCAGGATTAGGCCCATTTACAGAAGGCAGCTCTGGAAGTTGTCTGTGACACTGATTTCTGTTTTCTGATTTTCTTTTCTACAGTGGAAGAATACAAACTCACTACGCATACAAAAATCACTTTAAATCAGTTTGAAAATCTGCCATGTCTGGTGTTATTGTAAAACACTGCTGTGTGTACTGTATTAACTTGCACCTAATTCTAGAGACTGCTGTCTGAATTAAAATACAGTTCACACTCCCGCTGTGTTTCATTTCTGTGTGGATCCCAAGAGCTGCACGTAAATTGTGCATCTCTGTTTACTCTTAGCCTGATAAGCTTTCCCTGTTGACATTTAAAATGTCTTCTGGTAAACATGCAGTAGAGGTTCTGTTAATGAAGTATGTGTGCCTGTGCTGTGCAACAAAAAATTTCTAACGTGAAATTTGCAGCGCCTTACTCAAATTACTAATTAAAAAAGAAAAGGTGGTGGATGGGAGGGGGAAAGTGTCAGCATTTTTTTATTTTTTAAATCATTCAGATACTGGTTCATGAAGAATGCATTCTTTGTTAATCTGTGATGTTGCCTAGAGCTGTATTTAATATTGATCTTAATGTTTTTATTTATAATAGTGTGGTAGAACTGCATATCATTACAGTAAAAATTGTTATTACTGTGATGATTTAATCAAGCATTAAAAATTTCTGTATGACCATTTATTGTTCTGTCATGTTTTTTCATTGTTTTCACAAATAAGATTTGTGTTGATTTTTGCATTTATTTTCCCTGAGAGAAAATTAGCAGCTATGAATTTTACACGCAAAACTAGTAAGAAGATTTGACAAGAAGAATGGAGTTTAGGACACGTGGTATTTGTACTGCCTAGCATTTGGCTAAAAATCAGTAGCCAAATCTACCCCATCAAACTGATCTGCCTTAGCTAGGGTATTTTTCCAAAATAAACACTTAAGATTTTGTTTTATTTACAGAATTTAAACAAAATATTTTTGATTTAAAGTAGTTAAAATTGGATTATCCTTTTATTGTCTGAAAACCATCTGTTGATGATGTACACGTCATAGAATGACCTGGGTTGGACAGGCGCTTAAAGATCACCTCATTCCAACCCTCCTGTCATGGGCAGGGACAGCTTCCATGATACAGGTTGCTCAGAGCCCCACCCATTGAACACTTGAAGGGACAGGCAAGTACTGCCCTTCTGGGCAACCCATTCCAGTATTTCACCACTCTCATAATAAGTCTTCCCCCTATCTAGTCTGAATCTACTCTTTTTTAGTTAAAATCATTACCCCTTGTCCTAGTGCAGCAGGCCCTGCTAAAAAGTCTGTCCCAGTTTATTGATACACAACACATCAGGCATGTTGCAGCTGCTCTAACAGATTTCCTTCTCCAGCGGGGTTAATACATGAATATGGATGTCCAGTCTCAGGTCCTCATTTTTGCAGATCTAAGTTAAATATTAAGTAACAGTTAAAAATTTGAATTTTTAAGGTCCCCTCCAACTCAAACCTTTCCATGATTCTGCTGTTTTAGTACTTGTGTGATTTACTGTAGAGTGTGATATTAAGGGCTCCTGTACTTGAAACAAAAAGGAGAATGAGATGGAAAGAACCTGTTTTTTATGTATTAAAAAACCCTCTAGGCCTGTAAATGAGTGCCTGTACGTCTGTGCTTGAATAATTGGGACATTAATATGCTGAATGAAGGGGGTAAAGTTGTCAAATGTACACCAGTAGCTGTAGCATGTGATTACCCTGTGCATTTGAAACTCGCTTTTGCAGCACTCTAACCTACATTGTACCTCCACTGCTCCCTTCTACCATAAAGTAACATGTAACTGACAATCCTTTGCTTAAAAGAGCAGGAATGACTTGCATTTTAGCATGGTGCTACTGGCCTATAATCTTTCAGTAGTAATTGTTATTGCTGTCATTAGTACTAATGTGAATTGCTACAATGGAAGGCAAGTCGCTGGATGGTGGCAGGGCTGTTGAGTAAGAGCAAATGTTATTTCCCATTGTTTGTAAACTGTTACTTTAATTAATTGTCAGAGAATACACCTGCAAGTGTAGTAACAAGAAGTGGGGACTAAGGACCTTGAACGCAATTAATTTGCACCTTGTACAAAATCACTTGGGTTTAATTTTTAAATATTTAAAACTGGAGATGGCTTCTTATTAGCAAGGTAGCAACTGCAGTGGAATTCCCAATTTCTCTTGTAATGTCAGTTAGCATTTCCTTCATCCCATCAGTTTCCTCCCACCTGAACCAGCTCCAGCAGCGCAGGAGCAGGGATAGTGCTTTGCCACAGAAGGGAATGCTGCAGTAAGGAATGCTTTACCTGAGGGGTAGGACACAACTGGAGAAATGGAGAAGGGCAGAACCATCACTTGCAGCAAGGACGTGGGGATCTGTTTGCGTATGGCACAGGGCGGGTGCTGAGCGAGCCCCAGCGGCCCCGGGCAGCGGCCTGCCCCCGCCGTGCTGCCCTGGAGCCCCAGCGGCCCCACAGCCCCGCTCCCCGCCCGGGCACGCCGTGCGCAGCCAGCAGCGGGAAGCAGCGCGTTCCTTAGAAAACCTTTACTGACCGAGGGGACACCGCCACCAAGTACAAAAAGACACACAGACACACAGACAAGCCCGGTCCCGGGCGCGCAGGGCCGCCCCAGCCGCAGCCCCCGTGCCCGGCTCAGGGCGCCAGGCGATCCAGGCCCTCCTCCCGCCGGTTGCCCAGGTGCTGCTCGATGATTTCGGCAAAGAGGTTCCTCTTCAGCAGCGTGTAAGCCAGGGGCAGCAGCTGGCCCACCGTCTTGTGGAAGTACTGCAGGAGAGAAGCGAAAACAAGATCCACTCTCGGCCCCAGCGGCATTGTTAATTCCGGGAGCAGCCCCACCTCCTGGCCCTGCCCCAATCACACTGCGCCCTTCAAGCCCTCCCAAAATGCCTGAACACATCCCCATCCTGCACCAGTGACAGCCACAGCAAGGGCAGGCAGGGTGCCCGAGCTGCCGCAGGGAGAGAAATCGAGTGTTGGCAGTGCAAGAGATGATGATCCTGCTCACTACAGCATCCCAAACTGGAGCCTGCAGGTGAAGTCCCCTGTCTTGTCACAGTCCCATGTCTTGTCCCACCCCACAGTTTGAGCAGATTACAGTGGTACTTACAGTAACCATTTAAGAACCTCAAATGTATAAACATCAGAGCATATTTAGCATTTACAATCATTATTGTACATGTAAGTCCATTGTATCTCTCAAACAAAGGGGATGATTCAAGTTATTCTCTGTGTCTTGGGCTACAAATAAAGTGTCAGTGTTTCTCTGGCTCTGTAAGCAAAGGGACGGGAAGGCTCCAGTCAGAACTGGAAAACAGCTCCAAGCAGGAGCTCCAAGACAGGCGGGGACCTAACTGAGCAAAATATGTGTGCAGCCACTGTTTCTTCTGTTTACTAAACTAGAAGATGAAGGTTTCTAATTCTAGAAAACAGCCGCAAAGTTACAGGTGTTACAAGCTGCAGTGTAAAACAGACATGACACATGACAGTACTGTAAACGCAGTTTTTCACTGCAGGACTTTGTCAGTGGTTAGTCTCATGTGCTGAGAAGCACAAAGCTTGGAACATGAGTATTTGCTTCCACCTACTCAGAAAAATGGGAGTAACCATTTCCTTCACTGCCCTTCCAGCTGTAGAAAGGATTTAAGCAGCTGAAGCAGCCTAATCTCTAAAAGGTTTCTAAATGAGCACATTTTCAGATACTCATGGAACTTAAAGAGAGCAGGGCATGAAATCTAAGAAACACATTACTAATTTAACAGTGTATGGCAACAGCAGTCAGTTTTCATACATTTCAATGGCTAAGTGTCTTAACCAGTAATCAGCACAGCTCTTTTGGGCCTACATTTCATATCAAAAAACGTATCTTTCCCATGATACTCTGGAGCACCACTTAGCCAATACTAGTTTTACTAGAAGCAGCTGTTTTCTGGTGTGTTTCTATGATGATCCATTCATATTAGATTGATGTTGAAACTTCATGTGTTATTTTCTAGCCATTGACTAACTGCAGCCATGACCCTTTTCATCAGCAGGCCAGTAGCAAATACAGAACAAAAAGCATTAAGTATGATTTTGATGTGCAGTAAGTGCTATTAATTCAATCCCCTTACTGACCATGTTCACTGTTAGCAGAAAACTAGGGAGGAGACTCCAGGTGGGAGGTGCCCTAGGCAGTGCAGCCAGGCAGCTCACCTGGGTTCTCATTCTTCCAGCTGGGGTTACTACAAGCACCAGGCTGTTTCTTGGTCTGGTTGAATATGGGTGCCTATACAAGTAGCTGGGGACAGGGGACTCCAGCTATTCAGTGTATTTGAATCAGGTACTTCACACTCTGCTTCTGGATTGCAGGATTGGGCCTTCATACACACAATCTTAAATTCAATATGGAATGATGTTGTGTGACTTTTGAACAGTCTTCATGAATTAAGAATACTTTCGTAGACCTCTACGATTCCTAGGGATAATTAATCTGCAGCAGAACAACTTCTAGCCCATGTATGAAATAATGCATGATTTCATGAAGTTTGATTGTTGTAGTACTCACATGTGATCCATAGCAAAACAGGTCCATGCCCAGCTCGTACCCCATTCCATAATCACATTCATCATTAGCAAACTGAACAAAGGTCAGCATTTCTTGAATGGGTGCAAAGGCCTTCACTCTCTCCTCATCAGTCGGTGCATCAACAATGGCCTTGCAAATTTTTTTAAGATTAGCTGCAAAAAAACCAAAAGCAGACATTTAGATGCTTAAATAAAGAAATTTAATATTGCACAGAAGTATTCTGTGGCAAAACTATACCCATGTGCCACACTTACACATAATGCAAGTGGGCACACCCTGAACTGCTGGTGAAGCTTCCCCCTTTCCTTGGAAGCTCATTCTTGCCCCATGCCCATCCCTCTCAGTTCCTCACAAAGGGAGGCAAGCACTTCTGTGCTGCAGTTTCATCAAGAAACTGATTCTGGTTCAAATGACACTGGAAGAAGAGGGTGGATAACAAATAAACCCACACATCCCTGAATGTAGATCAGCTTTTTGCTCTACTTCCTGCATGGCTTTGACAATACAAAAGAAAAGATCATCTAAACTACTTCTTCAGGCATTCTCTCTTCTCAGATTTAGCATGTTTCATTGAGTCTCATCTGGTTCCTTTAATGACAATACTTTGAGGTCAAGAGTGATGGTGAGGACTTCTACATTTTACTCCCATCAGTCAAATTTTTAAAGTAGAAAACATTAATGCAGTTTGTTTTTTACTGAGGGGTGTTTACTTCAAAAAAGCAGAGGGATATAGTAAACAGGATGTTTACCATTTGTTTCAGGAAGTTCTCTGTATCCAACATCATTTTTGTCTACAGGAACAACTAGGCCTGCTCCATGAAATGCTTTGGTCACCACCTGAATAAAGAGACAGAAAATGGAACATAGCACCCTAAGGCAGTACTATGACCTAAAAAAACCTCATCTCATTAAACACTAACACCTGACTGCTGGTGGTCAAACCTAACATGGTGTCCTGCCTCCAGGACATCAACTTAAATTTCAAATTATATTGCAATTAATTTCAAGTACTGGAAGTTTGAAATAACTGGAAATGCCATTTCAGTGAAATTCTGAATTCTAGGAACCCTTGCAGTCACTTGTGTTGCATTGTACCCCTTTCGTTTAGTCCCCTCCTACCATAATTATTTTTAATAGGTATGCAAAAAATCTCTGTTATTATCATCCATATCATCCTTCATGGTCCTGTTTCTAACAGATCCAACCCCACTATTTAGAACAATCTTCCATTTATAGTTTTTTCCATGGCCTCTATTTGTTCCAGTTTTTAGATTACTGGGCTTACTGAGGTTTTTCTTGGTGGTGTTTTGTTCTTGTATCGTTTTTAATTGAATGCAAAGCTATTATTTACAAGAGTAAAGTGTTTTTATTACATCCTATTATTTGGAACACACCTGTAGTAATCTTCCCTCTTTTGAAGTTTTATAGAGAGCTGATTACCTTTGGAAATTCCTAATGTAGCATCCTTACTGACTAGAAGGATGGAAAAACACAAACAGGAAGTAAATGAAAAAAATTTAACAGAACTTAGTTCTCTCCAGTAGATGAGGAAAGCCATACTTTCTTATCTCTCTGTTTCATCTTCAGGGTTTTTTGTTCCAGAGAATAACCCAGTTCTTTTGCTGTTCTTGTTAGCTTTTCATCTATGTCTTTCAAAACAGCATTTTTCTTTTTATCAGCCACTTCCTTAAGTTTTTTTGACAAAAATAATCTGCAAACAGATGAAGCATGTCAAGAAAACAACAAAAAAATTAATAGCCTTTTAAATGTTAAACCTCTAGATCTTAACAACAAAGATTAGCAGTCCTGTGTTTCTTTACATAGAGACTTGAAAATGCAAGCTTCTTAAGAGGAGGCAAGAAAATAGTTTGGCACATCTAGTACTTGGGCTTTTCTTATCTCTACCTGCATTACAATCTAGCTTATGCAATCTGCAGGTGCTGAAAGTTCTCCCAGCCTCAGTAACTGTTCATCTTTCTATCTTAAGAATTCAGTTTGCTGTTCCCGTGCCATATACACCATTTGTCATCCAAGTCATGCACACAAATACATATTTATGAGCTTCCCCATGGTACTTTCAAAACAAATGTCCTTGTTTAACCCTGCAGTGCACAAGGGCTCTTTTGCAGAAGCCATTCTTCAGTCTGCTTTCACTGACTGACACGTGTCTGTCCTTAGAGAGCTTTCCATTTTTAACCGGCAGGGGTGAGGTCAGTTGTTTACATTCCTGATGCAGGAACATGTAAAGTTCCATGAATCAGACTGAACTACATATCCACATCAGTGTTATCCTGCCACAGGGCAGAAATAGTACTTCTTGTAGATATTAATTATATACAAAAATAATGTATCTTTATGTAGTCAAGAGCAAGAGCCAGATGCTATTGATTTACTATGATACTCAGATTTCCTTCACCACTGTTTGAGATGCCCTTTCTCTACTTACAAAATTATTTTAACGTATCCAGTGGGTATTTTTTCCAATTTAGAGCCTGTCACTGCCAATATATTTAAGGAAGGATGTAATGAACACTCATTTATTTTAGTTCTGAAAGGAAAACACTGTTAAAAAGCCTACAACATCTTCTGAGAGAATCTTAAAGCTTGCCAACAGGGACAGAAAGTAAGTGAGGGTTTCTTAAGAAATATATGTAATAAGTTAGCCTCATTATTCCACATTCCACCTCCCAATTAACAATTTCTCTCTATTCTGTTCTTTGTAAATAAAAGTAAATATAAACCTTACTTGACTGCAGCAAAGACATTATCACCAACTTGTGAAATCACACAACCCTTCTTTGCTTCATTTGCACCAACCCACACTGGGAGCTCATCTGGCACATCCCTATTGATGAAAAAGTACACACAAAATAGTCATGCTGTGTCCTATTTGAAAGTAGAACTAAATTTGCCTCCTCCTGCAAATGCTGCCGTCTCCTTCAGAACTCCACCAAGAAATGCCCTTAGATCTAAAGCTCTAAAATCTTACAGCAAGCCTTGAAAAGAGCTTGCATCCATACATGCAGAGAGAATACACATTTCCTTTTGGTAAGCTGATTTCCTTCTCAGTATCATGGCAAAAGTTAAAGATTAGTGAGTGAAGGTGCTCTGGATGGCTGGAGGAGGTAAGTATTTAATAATAAGTATTTAAATCTAGTCTTCAACTCCTGCTCCTGCAAACTTTTTTAATAAAAAGATAAAGCCATGTGTTAATGTCCTACTATAACAAAAGAAAGATTCTTGCTTGGTGATAGCACACAAGTTATGTTTAGTGGAAAAAGAGGACAAAAGCTATGCATAGTTGTAGTGGAGCAAGAGCACACAGGAAATAAAGTACCTGAAATATCCCATGTGATACTGTGTTCTGCTATCCCCAACAAGTATAGTCTGAAATTCTGGAGGATCATAGAAGAATCTCCAATGAAGATTGAAGTTCACATCTGTTGCTTTTGCTTTTTTGTGTTTTCCAGCAAGAATATCATATGGTCCAACCAGCTTAAGTCCAACACTTGACACAAGTGCATCTGAAAAGCAAACCACGAATCAGGTGCACGTCCAGACCAGGAAGTTCCCGGTGTTGCTCAGGTATCAAGTTTCCATAAATTCAGTCACACACTATTTACTAAACAAGGAAAGCTAAGAATTGTTTTATCCAGATAGTTTTCCTTGAAGAGCTATTACTACATTTTAACGAAAAGTAGCCATCCAGCCCCAGTCCGATGTCAGGATGGACATCAGTGATGACTGTGTCCCTCAGGGCTCTGTACTGGGACCAGTATTGTTCAATATTCATCTTTATCAAGTACATAAGACTGGATCAGCAAATTTGCAGATGACACCAAGCTGAGGGGTGCAGATGATGCTTCTGAAGGATGGGATACCATCCCAAAGGACCTGGACAAGCTCAAGTACTGGGCCCATAGGAATCTCTTCCAGTTTAACAAGACCTGGTCTTGGAAAGCTCTGCACCTGGGTCAGGGCAGCCCCTGGTATCAGCACAGGCTGGGGATGAACAGATGGAGGGCAGCCCTGCCAGAAGGACTTGGGGGTGTTGGTGGGTGAGAGGCTGGACATGACCTGGCCAGGAGCACTCCCAGCCCAGAAAGCCAAACATGTCCTGGGCTGCATCCAGAGTAGTGCGGCCAGATTCTCCCCTCTGCTCTACTCAGACCCCACCTGCAGTGCTGCATCCAGCGCCAGGGCTGTCAGCACAGCAAAGTCATGCGTCTGCTGGAGTGGGTCCAGAACAGGGTCATGAAGATGATCAGAGGCCAAGAGCACTCTCCTATAAAGATGGGTTGAGAGGGCTGTTCAGTCTGGAGAACAAAAGGCTCCAGGGACTTTACTGCAGCCTTTCAGTACTTTAGGTATTGAAGGTAAAGACAAACATTTTAGCAGGGCCTGTAGCAAGAGGACAAGGGATAATGATGCTTAACTAAAACAGGGTAGATTCAGACTAAATACAAGAAAAAAAAAAGCATGATGATGCAGGTGGTAAAACACTGGGTGCCCAGAGACACAGTGGATGACCTAGAAACATTTAAGGCTGGGCCCATCTCTGAGCAACCTGGCTCTGTTGAAGATGTCCCTGCTCAGTGTAGGGGGTTTGACTAGATCACCTTGAAAGGTCCCTTCCAACCCAAACCATTCTGACTCTGAAAGACACAGATAGATCACCTTGAAAGGTTCCTTCCAACCCAAACCATTCTGACTCTGAAAGACACAGTCATTTCTAGAGCACACAGGGATGCCACATTCTGTTACATAATAAACTTGAAGAGGTTGAAATCAAGATTTATTAGTGCTTACACTAAGTTAAAGTCTTCAATTTCTCATCCCACCAGCGAGGGGGCTGTGGGTGCACAAGAAGCTGAGAGGGGATGCAGCTGGGACAGCTGATCCCAAATAACCAAAGGGATATGCCACAGCATATGGCATCATGCTCAGCATGACAAAGACCTGCTTTCTTGGAGATGGCTGAACACCTGCTTGTACATGGGAGGTGGTGAATTAATTCCTTGTTTTGCGTTGCTTGTGCCTTTTGCATTCCCTATTAAATTGTCTTCAGCTCAACCCACATGTTTTCTCACTTTTGCCCTTTCAATTCTCTCTCACCAAGGGGGAGTGAGCAAGTGCTTCTATGGTGCTTAGTTGTTGACTGGGATTAAACCATGATACATGAGGAAACTTGGGTTCCATACTAAACATTTTAAATACACCTGTGAGAAAGGCAGATTTAGACCACATTTAGTCCCTTTACATTTCACAACTTCAGTACATTTTAGAAAGCCTGAAGTGTACATCTTGGTGATTACAGCCAATGTTTTAGTTTACACTCATGGAAATATCCCTAATCTCAAGTGAAAAGCTGAAGCTTCATTAAAATGCATCTGACCAACTCCAGTTTGCCTGCTTTGAGGGTGCTTTTGGGAGTGAAAGTTAGAAGACGCAAAATTTAAAATCTCACCACTTGGTTTCTCAGGATCTAGTTCCTCACAAAACTTCCAAAACTGGTAGAAGTCCTCAGGCAGTCTAAGCCGATAGCATGTTTCTGCTTCTTGGCAAAGACTATCAGGAACATCTGCCTGGTTTGATCTTCTCTTCTTGACAGCTCCATTTTTTTCACTCTGTAGATTAAAAAAAAAAACCAAAAATCCAACCCAAAACAGAGTTAATTGCTTTCTCTCAGCTCCACCAAAGGAGTCTACAAAGCTTTTATACTAATGGAGGAACAAGAATTAGATCCATTAGGACATGTTTGTTAGTTAAAGCAGTATATGTACAGCCTAGAACATCCGTTTTGGACAGAACCCATTAAAAGTGCAGTCTGACAAATGTACTAAACATGTCTGCAGTAGCAAACTGCTACTTTGATATTAATGGGCCAATATAATCAACAAAAGCGCTTCTGTTAGTTAATTAAGCAAAGCAGCAAGCAATCCTGAAGTTTAATCTAATTCTACATTGTTCTAAAATGACCATTTCCAAGCACACTGCAGACAGCATGCAATATGTTCTTGTGTTTTACAAACAGCTCAAAGTAGGACTGTTTTGTCAAATTAAATTATACAGCAAAAATCCTCTGGTCTCTACTATTTTAACTACCGTGCTATTCAACATCACAACTACTGCAGTTTTCAGTGCAGCATTTTAGAAGCAGCTTAGAAGTGAAGCTGCTTTTTAAAATTATGTTATATGAGGTGACGCAGCTAAGAAATGATCCATACAGGCACACTCTACTGGGGCAGCAGCCTCAACCACCCCATTCCTACATCAGTCTCCATGAATTCGTAGGAATCGCTATTCCCTCATCTGAAAGAACATAAAAAATAAAAGAAATAAATAAGCAACAAGGTTTTTTTCCTATTCTTAAGAGAGCATCCCTGAAGCAGGGCCGCTGCCAGGAAAGCCGGGTTGTGTGCCCGCTCCCAGCGCGGTCCCGCCGGGATGATGCGGCGGCCGGTGGGCCCAGCGCACCCCGCGGGACGGCCGGCGGAGGAGCGGGGAGAACGCGGGGCCCTGAGACTGCCCCCAGAGCCACCGAGCGAACCAGAACGAGGGGCAAGGACACAGAGGGCCGGCACGCAGCACCCGGGTGCCCGCCGCCCGGGCCGCGTCCCCGTGCCCGCCGCCCCACCTGCTCTCCGGCCGCTCCCGCCGCGCCGCGCGGCCGGCTGTGGCAGCCCCGCACAGCGGCCACAGGGCCAGGGGGCAGCGACGGGGGAACGACAAGGAGCGCCGTTCACCCCCATGGCGAATGCGGCTGGTGCTGGAGACAAGTCGGGAACTCACCGCCATGTTCCCTCAGCGGTAGATACACCGCATAGATCCGCTTTCTAGGCTAGTTTTTTTTAAAAAAATCCTGCTTACATATACGTGCAAATTCCTGTGAGTTAGGGTGGTGTATTGGATCACACAGAGGAAGAGATGTACTGAAATGTTATTATCTCCTATAGAGATAAAGGCATAGGAGAGGAAGCATTACAGGTTTTCAGTACAAATATAAAAAAAAAAGGCCCAATCCCCTAATCTTCTGCTTTAGCAATTGCCAGCTGCCAGGAATATAAAAGCAGCATCACAGCTTCTGTTCAGTGAAGGAGCCGAGGCAGCCGTGTGGGACGCGCCGCGAGCGTTCCTGTTTGGAGCAGCCCACGATCCCGTTATGCAACATCCGCTTGCGCCGCTCAAGTGCTTTGCATAGGAGAGGGCCTGCGGAACCAGCGGCACCGGAGGCGGCAGGGGAAGCTGGTTATTTATAAACCTTCACTTTTTTTGTTTCAGTGAGTGAGATCGCAGTGGGTTTATTTAAAGAAGTTGTATGTAGTTAAGCTACAGGAGTTGGTGAACTCACAGCGCCTGCCAGAAAGAAAGATGCGCGTATGGCATAGATAAATACCACGAGATCTTTTCATCCTGCAGTCTGTTAAGGCTGTAAATACTTGCTGTGGTATAGATTGTTAGCTTAGGTCTAGGAATACGCTGCAGTGCGTTTCAGCCACCTGACAGCTGTACGACTCACACAAAAGCTCGATGTTAAGTCAGATTGCAACATGCACTTTTAAGAGTTACACACAAGTCACAGGAAACTTGAGCCTGACTGATGGTACTGTCTGTACATCAACCAGCAAGGTTTGGTATGATGTAGATGCGGAACAAAGTCTGCATCAAAGTCTCCTTTCTCAAATGGAAAAATTGTTTAAATCGGCATACCTGTTTGCTTACCAAAATCCTGCATACACAAGGAAGGAATATTAAATTTCACATCCAAACCTTGTTTAACGATTTACATTTCATTGCCTGAGGTTAAGCAGAAACAAGACACAAAAGCTTACTAAGAAACCACAAACCTAATTTTCTTTCTGAAAAGTGTCAAGAGCACTAGCCTGAGGTTTCTTTGGGAAATGCTTTCTAAAATTGAATTATGAGTCTCACTCACAATTTCTACTATACAAAACCTTGGAGGCTAGAGGAAATGTCACCCAAAGGAAAAACAAGTAAATAAGGTCAGCATGAAAGCATCTACCTTTACTTTGAGTCAAGAAGAAAGCAGCAGCTTTTCAAAGTTTTCCACTTTTAAAGAGCTTGACTTTTGCCTCCTACAATATTTTGCATTACAGCATTGAAACAGAAGTAAGCATCAAATAAATTGTAGTGGCCCCCATTTTAGATATGCCAATACCTCATGAGACACATTTATACTGGAAAGAATGCAAACTGACTAGAAAAATACTCCTATACTGACTTAATGCTTGTGCTAGGTGTCTAAAGCCTAACTTGGAGTGTTTTTACCACTGAAGATACAGCTCATGAGCTTTATTGATCAATCAATTTTTTTTATTCTTTTCTCCACACAAGCTATTAAAGACTCCAAGAGCACCTCTCTTCTAGAACAGCCCACAGTTTGGAAATCACCCATGAAAGAAAAAAAATGCATAATCCAGGGAGGAAGATGCAAAATGTTCTCCATCTGAGAATCCTGGTCTCTTACACTTTCCAGGCAGGTACCCCAGCCATTAGATTCTAGGTTAAGAGTACCAGTGTTTGGCCATACTTAAGATAAAATGTGATTTTTAAAATACTTTTATGTGCGTATGTATATCGTGCAACTCACTCTTTTTATAAGTACCTTCCAAACCATTTTGGAATGAGTACCTCAAAAGAAGTAGGTAATGAAATGCTCAGTTACCTCATCCTGTCTTTTCAGCCTTAAAATATGAGGCAGCTAGCTCAGTTCCACTAAGATTGTGATCGTGGTGATGTTCAGAAAAGTAACTTTGCATGGCTGAATAGATAAAAAGAATATTTTTTAGTTTAGATGTATCTAGTCCCAGGTGGCAGCTGATGAGGTCTTTTCCAAACAGCAGTTTGGAACCAAAGAACACACTTTAGATTCAATAAACCCTTTCAGTTTCTCTTCAGTTAAGTCTACCCTCAGCAGTTCTTCTCTGAAATGTGGAAATAGATTGTGGGATGCCACTGTAGAGGCCCTCAAACAAGAAATGCCAAGATACTGAATGATCATTCTGTCCACCATAGTAGTTTTTCCTTCTCTGTGAACAAGTGGTAACTCCTTCTGTATGAGAAGTAAGAAAAAATTACTTGGAGGAGGATTTGAAGTCTTAGATTTGAAAAGAATATATAATTTGGTATTGGTGGTCATGTTTTCATTCATTCTGGTAACAGCCTGTAAGGCTATAACAGGGAAGACTTTTTACAAAGGATAAATGGCTGCAGCAGTATTTTAAAGCCTCCCTTTCAAGCCAGAAAGCACAGCGTCCTATGCATGTACCTCCAGACTTCTGAATCAGGATAAACTGAGATTATCTCAAGATAATTATCGGCACAGTAGCTTTATCAAACTCTCCAGTCATCAGTATGATTAGTCCCACTCTGAAGTGGGCCTAGTTTCTTTTTGTTTAGATTGTTTTTGTTTTGTTAATTTATAACTACAGGAAAAGATTTTGTGAGAAACTACAGAAGTGAAGCATGTTTCCTTGAAACAAAGCTTTTCGGACCTGCCTTCTCAAAAGCTATTGTAGATACTTCCTGTGTATACACACACATATTTCCTGATACATTTTATTTGCCTCTTGAGGTTAGCAAGACTTCAGTGTCCTATAAGTATTTTCCTCCTCCATGTTAATTTCCAATATTATTGCTTAATATCCAAAGTTGCCAAAGTATGCTCCATGCTATGCAAAAAAAAAACAACAAAAAAACCCAAAAAAACCCCACCAAAAATCAACCCTCTCAGTTTTCAATTTCAGAGTTTTATAGGTATTAATTATTGTGGAAAAAGCTTTCATGATTCAAAAGCCAGAACAATAAACTTTATCAGCTAGCAGGTACTAGAAAGAAGGAAAGGAGACTTGCAGGATTGTTGAAATAAGTTTTTTCCTTCCTCACTGCCATTCACTGACTCTTTCATGCTCAGAACTTTCTGTCAGAGTTCATTGCTTTCCTCCCACCCTTTACAAGGGAAGATTTGCTCACCTGTGAAAGACACCACAAGTAAACTAAGCTACACTGATCCAGATATTCTGTGCTGAGCTGTTAAAGATCTTTAAGGACAGGGATCTCCAAGACAAGATCTCTATCTAGTCTAGACTGCATTAGCAAATAAGATGGCATGCAATACATATGATTCACAAGTTATTTTTCCTACCCTTCATCATGTGCAGCTGAAAGGTAACTGATCATGGTACTTATTTTAGGTAGTTTCAAAGAGTACCTGAGCAGCAAGGGATACGTGTGTTCAGTCTCCTCAGTCACCACAACATACTGATAAACTAGACTATGCAGTATAAATATAGATAAAATCTAATTTCTGCTCAAGGACTAGATTTTTGCCAAAATGATACTTCATTTCTCTTGACACAAGAGGGAGCCATTTAAATTCTTTTTATTAAAAAAGCAGTATAAAGAATGGAGACCAAAATACCTTAATATACAAGTGGCCACATTGATGTCCTTTCAATGTGGACATCTTATTTCTGAATCCTAGATAATTTTGTCTTATTCTAGGTAATCACAGTGTATGTAGTAGCTGCTGGATTTTTCTGTGTACAGCTATCACCTTGGGGATGCAGTGAATGCAGTGTGGCACAAATGCAGTGAAATTATTCTATTTTTAAATAGTTTTAACACTGCAGTTTATGTGATAGTTCTTACTGAATTGTTTTACAAAACTGCCAGCCTTGTTCTCGGGTTAAGCCTCGCATAATCCTCAGATCACATAGAGCCTCTTGTTCCTTGGGTTATTAGCTTCTGTAGGGCAGCTGCACATTTTCAGGTTCACTGAAGGACACATCCTCCTTTTCATCAAAATAAGGATGAGCAGGAGCTGTGGACACTTTTCAAGGTCAAAGCCAAGGCTTGTCTCCGGGAGGGTTGGGAGCGAGCGGTGCTGCAGCAGAGCGCAAAGACACACAGCGCCTCTGCTGACTCATCACCTCAGTGCTGCTTGTGCTGACAGGTTGTCCTGGATCCCTGCCAGCTCCCCTTGCAGTTCTGCAAGGAAGGCTACATACACCAGGATAAATGAAAGAATACAGAGCAGAGGGGAAGTCATAACTGGGAGAAAATTGATCATGATACTGCAAGACATGTATTTCCTGAGACAGCCTAGAGGCTTCAGGACACTTTGTGTTGTGAATGTTTAAAAAAGAATATGGGTGAAGAAAACACAGTAGTCCTTCTGTAAAGGACTGGAAGTAAGACAAATATTTCAGAATATAAATTAATATTATTTAGACATCAATTCGGTGAGCCTTGCAATAACTGCTTTTGACAAGAGTGTAAACTGACAGCTTGATACTGCTGTAATCCAGCATTTGAACCACTATTATTTAGATCTGGCAGCTACCAGTAGACTATGATTTTATGGTGGCAGTGGTATTTTACTGCAAGCCAAACCCTTTCTTTCTGCTCTAATTTGAATACAGGGAAACCATTCTGATCACATAAATTATGAGTGCTTGGAACACAGAACAGATCCTGCATTGAAATTACTTGTTAGTTCTGTGGTTGTATGGAACTGCAATTTATATAGGACCATTTGCCATAAGCACCAGTTAAATTTTACAGATGGTCATAGATGTACTAAATTGCCTGGTTTACTTGGAAGTACAGCCATGTATGTTTGAAACACAGTGAGGCACAGTTCATCTGAATGCATTATTCCAGGAAATTAGGAGAAGTAAGAATGAATCTACTCCTATAAAAAGGTTGCTAATGTTAATTCCTATTGAAAAAAAAAAGTTTTCCCTTGTGAAAGTAAACCACAGAGTTAGTAAGTCTAATCCAGTTTTATTTCTGGTCAGCTGTTGGGGCCAGGATAGATTGAACCAGGCAATCTAGATACTAGATTTTTGGGGGGTTATGGTTTTTTTGTCATATATAGGTATTCTGGTTCTCTTAATACATAATTGTCACTTTAAACTCTTGCCTGCATATGTACAAAATACTGCATACAGGTAAGGAGGAAAAAAGTATCAAGTCAAGTTGGTGCCACTGGAGGTAATAAATAAAAGAAAAATTTTTGTCTGATTCATAAAAATGAAAGTAACCTAATAGCAAGTAATTTACAATCAATGTCTACTTTGTAGATACCCTTGGTGAGGTTTAATATTTCAGATATGCAAGAAGAAACACTTGATAAACATGTTTACCAGCAAGACAAACCCTTCATACATTGTTTTACCACTAGTAACTCAGAAGACTGGCATGTCTTTCATATTCTGTTAGTACACACCACCTCCCAGTCTTCAGTGTCAGAAGCTCAGGACCCTGTTTTCATAGGACAGTTTCCTCATATTGAGAGCAAGTCTCACATTCTGATGTAACTGGATATTCACATTGACTGTCACCCTAATAATGAAATAATATGCATCCCCTACCTTCTGGCTGATGGTATTAACATTTTATCTAGTATGCTTTGGCTTCCTCCCCTGACAAATAATGTGGTGAGGAGGTAGAAAACTGTGGCTCTGAGTCACTTCAGCTTAGGATAGAGTGAGTCAGGAACTCAGCAGCTCAGTTGGGAGAATTGATCATATTCCTATTATCTAAGACACAGAATTGCTGGCTATAACTGACAGGCAAAATTCTTCAGGGGCAGGATAAATCCAGTTTTGTGTTTTAACATCCTGAGGGGTGGTAGTCTAGATTTTCCAATAAACCATTTGCAAACCATAACTTTTGTAGCTATTATTGCTGTGAGAGTCCCTAAACTTGAGGATTGAGTATATGGTTTAGGGTGAACAATCCTATTATATTTAGCAACTTCTGTAAGAAACCTTTCTGCTTGTATTTTTCTGGGCACCCTGGCAACCAGAAAACATTAAAAGCAACAAAAACTGGATTTAATGTAAGTCTTAAAGGCAGTACTAAGTATAACATCAACTTTAGACTTGTGTTCATATTTAAAATTCTTCCCTCAGAACTGATCAGATGTTTCCACTCCATATGGCTTCTAGTGTAGCAATACAGTAAACTTCTGCTAGCTAGTAACACAAAACACCACATATTCTCACCGTGCCATTCCCAGCTAACAGCTTCAGTGCCTAGGGCTGTGTAGCATTAGCACAGTCTGTTCCCAAATAAGTTACCCTTTCTGTCTATGAGCATGACTAATTAACTCAGGTGCAGCACTAAAGCTGCCACAGCTCTATTCTTTCCAGTCTGGAACCAGTCAGCTGTGACGCTCACCTGGAATTGCTGTGCCATGGCATTGCCCAACACAGGGAGCACTGAGAAAACATCCTACTCTTTTCTGTGATCCCATTCATCTTTCATCTGCCTTGTTACTCTAAGCTACCATAAACGAGCGCCACAGCAGGAAAATCTGTCTAAAGCCCTCACCCATGGTTACAGCATATGCAAAGACAATGACTCTGGCTAAGGCAGGCTTATGCCCAGTGTTGGGAAACAACCCTTCTCTCACTGGGATGGGGCTGGGAGACAGCAGGGCCTGCCATTTCCCCTTGATGCTGTAGTCTTGGGCTTTCTGCTCCATTCACAGGGGGCTGAATCTGCTCTTAGTGCAGTAACCCAGCTAGGATAGATTCCACTGGGAAGCTGCAAATACTGTATGCTCAAAAGACATTTCACACACAGGATGGTCCTGACATGCTTCCTCAACTTCAAGGAGCCTACTTAATAGCCCCAGAAGGTAATGAGTACTTCTTTCACAGTAGGATATTTTCTTTAGCATCATCACTGTTTCTTGTTGAGATTTTGCAAGTTTAAACTTTGTCTCTGTTGAAATATGCCAAAAATGCCCACAGCTCTTAGGGATATTCTTGAATATAATGAAACTGCATTTGATCACCCACTTATAGTAGTCTGACAGCTTTGTATACCACTAACTTAGTTACCAGCACAAGCCAAGCTTTAAGCACTCTTTTTTTTTTTCCCCATAGTTTACTGACAAAAGTACACAGATATTGCCTCTGTCTTGTGAGCTCATATAGAATCCCTCCTAGGAACTCCTCAGGTAACATTCAGTAGTACTGGCTAGCTAAGATGGCTTTAAAAAAATACCACATACCTCCCTCAAAGAAAAATCCTTAACACCCCAAAACAAGAAAAACCCTTAAAAAACAGCCTCAGCTAAGAGCAAGGAAAAAAAAACCAAAAAAACCCCACAAACAGCCCCCAAAAGTAACACAAACAAAACCCCCCAAAACACCAAAAAAACACAAACCAAACCCCAAACAAACTGTACCACACAAAAAGCCAAAGTTATCAAGAGTCTCATGCAGGATTACATAGATTAAAATCTCCACATCCAAAGAGATCAGTTTCCCAGTTTAGAGACCAGCAACTCTCTTAAGTTTATTAATGTCACCTTTTTCATCAAACAGGAGAAGAATATTCACATTGCAGTGGTGGAAAATCATAGGACAGTCTGTCTCTTCATCCCATTTGCATGTTATTATGTATTTAAACAAGAAAACAGTTTGATAATTCCCTGTTCTGTTTAAAAATATGTTTTAAGCTTAGGAACACCACATACAAGATGCCTCAGGGCACAAACAATTTTGTCTTTTGTTTAGAGCTAAATTGTTTTGGTTCTACTAAGTAACCCAGATCTTGCCAGTCAGCTCCCTTATATTTGACTTTCTTTTAATATACCTTGTAGTACTTGATCACAAGACAACTTAACTAGTACCTCTGCTAATCAACAGTTGTTGCTTTCTCAGCAAAAAGATAAATACACCAGCTATTGTAAGACAAGCTCCTTATTCTCAAAGCAAAAGGGAATAAAACCCTCTTATTAAATTACATGTGCCAGAAGATTAAGAAAACAAACAACTCCCAATGAAAATTCTTACCATTGCAGGTCACAAAAACAAAGCAAACAAAGCCAAAGTAGGTCAGAAAGCTGTCACTGTTTGAAAAAAAACTATATGCTTTCTTACTAGGAGCCTTGTTCTCTTTTATAGTGTGCTCATTCCAAGGTATCAGCACTGGCTGTTGGGTTGCAGGGTCTCAGCTGTACCTGCTTCCTGGCCATTTAACCCTTGTCTTTCTGGTCTGAGTTTTCAACAGATCTAAATGCAAAAAAATTGGATTGTTCAGTAGGACAATTTTTCAGTAGCTTAAAGCATTTGTAGTACCTCACAAAACACAACATAACATAACTGCTTTTCTTATGCATAATTTTTTTTTTTCTTAATTATTCAGTTTTCTTTTTTTACTTATCTGCTTTCTCATTTGTTGCCTATCAGAAGAGATAAGAGGTGTAAAAGTTCATATGAAAAAGAAAAGGAGGAAGCTAGGCAGGGACCTCATCACAGAAAATGCATTCATTTATATGGGAATTACAGCTCTGGTTTTGTTTTGTTACAGTGACAAGGCTGGCTTAAAAGAATAGCAAAACTTCTTACATTGATTCTATCAGTCAAATAATTCTGTGTAACTAGAGGGAGCTAGTTAAGGAAAAGGGGGAAAAATGAAAACCAGCAAATGGGATAGATGTTACAAGAAGGATTTGTGAAAACTTGTTGAATTACTGCTAATTGTGCTTTCACTATAATTGGAGCATAATGCATTAATTGTAAAGAAAAAAAAATCTTGAATGTTACTAAAATGTTCTAAATCCCACTCCTTTTTAATGCTAACATTTTAAAGTCTCAGTGTCTTCAGAGTGCCACCTACCCACTTAAACACCTAAATATCCCACTTAAGCACTACTGATTTTTTTCAAATTGGTATCTATTAGGTACTCAGTTTCTGTTGTCAGTTGTGTATTGTCAAGTTTACAAAATATCGTAAGACTCCTCAGAAAAATGCATTGAGTTAAACTAGCTAATTCTAACCTATTTTAAGACATTGTATTATATACATTACTGTATGTGAACATTGTGATCAGTAATTATTTTAATTGTCTAAGAAAGAATGTAGGCACCTGTACTTCTAGAAGGTTCTAGCAAGACCCTTTGTTCAGTTGTGCAAAGTGCTATGGCTTTCAGCTGACCGCCTGGCATTAAGCCATTGAATAAAATAGGGTACAATTTTTGTCAAACACCTTGGTTATATATAATTGCATAATAACATTTCAGAAACCCTGTAGAAAAGCATTTGCTGTCTAAGTGTTCTTAAAGAAAAGGTCAACAGTATTTTTTTCATATAATCACAGAATGGTTTGCATTGGAAGGACCTTCAAGATCACCTATTTCCAGTCCCCCTGCCATGGGCAGGGACGCCTTCCACAAGGCCAGGGGACTCAAAACCCATCCAACCTGCCCTTGAACATTTCCAGTCATGGGGCATCCACAGCATTTCTAGGCAGCCTGTGCCAGTGATCATCACCCTCACAGTTAACAATTTCTTCCTAATACCAAATGTAAACCTACTTTCTGTCTACTTGAAGCCATTCCCCCTTGTCCTATCACAACATGCCTGTGTAAAAGGTCCCTCTCTGTCTCTCTTCTAGGCCCCTTTTAGGTACTTGGAGGCTGTTCTAAGGCCTCCCTGGAGCCTTCTGTTTTCTAAACTGAACAACTCCAACTCTCTCAGCCTGTCTTCATTGGAAGGGTGCTCCACCCCTCTTGTCATCTTCATGGACTTCCTCTGGACTTGCTCCAACACGTTTAAGTCCTTCTTATGCTGAGGAACCCCAGGCTGGATGCAGCACTCCAGATGGTATTTCAGAAGAACAAAATGGGTGGAATCAACTCCCTTGACCTGCAGGCCACCCTGCTTTTGATGAAGCCCACTATGTGATTGGCTTTCTGGGCTGCTAGCACATGTTACAAGGTCATGTCATCCTCCTCATTCACAAACGCTCCCAAGTCCTTTTCCTCAGGGCTGCTCTCAATCCGTTCTTGCCCAGCCTGTACTTGTGCTTTGAATTGCCCCAACCCAGGTGCAGGACCTTGCAGTTGGTCCTGCTGGACTTTGTGGGGCTCTCCCAGGCCCACCTTTCAAGCCTGTTCAAGGTCCCTCTGGATAGCATCCCTTCCCTCCAGCCTGTTAACTGCAGCACACAGCTTGGTGTCGCAAGGCAGAGAATCCAGTGGAAAGCAGGCTCCATGCTCAGTCAGTTATGTGAAAGGTGACCATTTGCTGGAGTCATAAGAAAATAATACAAAATTTGATCTGTACTTTTAACAAGCTATCATTTAATTTTGCCATTGTCTTCTCTCATATTCACACCATTAACATCTTAGCTTTGCTTTGTGATATGACTGATATGTTTTTCCTTCCTTTCAACTTCCCCCTGAAAGTATATATTTGCAACACTTAACATTCTATGTAAAATAGTTTTTGATTTTGCTTCATTTTTGGGGGAAAATATTTAAAAATCCAGAATAAATCAAATGAATCAGCATAAATATAATTTGAAGAAGGCAATTAATATAGTGTGTACATACACCTGGAAACAGATACAAAGCACAAAGGACCTTTGTCATCATCCTACAGCTGATGGCACTCATTATAACCTGATATTGGTAACCAAGGGTTTTTTGTAGTTTGAGACAAAACCCAAGATGTCAAGATGTCAACAAAATGGAGAGTTTTGTCATGAGAGATATTAAGAATTGAAATAATTTTTAAAAACCTCCATTTTTGTTTCTTTAAAATATGGAAAGATGATTTAGCCACATGGCTGCTAACAGTAACAGGAGGCAAGCAGTTAAATTTCCATAAATCAGAACAATCATTAACCTCTTACAGTTTCATAATTTCATTTTTTCTAATGCAAATTAAATACTATATGATATGGCTGCATTGCTGACTAAAAATAATACTTATCAGCAGTGCTTAAATCAGTCTATAATCACAAGATTTGTTAATGTAATAATTTGGTTCTTTACTAATTAAGCAATTTGTAGCTAGTTGCTAACTCCTTGCATTTCTCAGAAATCCTTTTCCAGGATGGTATTGCCTCAAGAGGGATGCAGCACAGCTGGTGAACGAGTCAGTGTGCTTTTTCAAAAAAGGAGGTGTTTGGGTTTTTTTTTTACCTGGTATCTGGCACTACTTATATTATATACATGTAGTTGGTGCATGTGATCTTATTTCCTCACAATTAATTTGTTTCCTCTCTCCCATTCAGTCGTGACATCATCTTTGGACTTTACTGAACTGTTCCACAAGTGAAAAGTGGATTTCACTTTGTAGAAGCCTTAATCCAGTGGAGAAGACAACACGTGGCTAAAGAAGTTGGGAATCCCTTGTGAGTATCCTCCAGAATAGACAGAATAAGATGGAAAGTGAAAGTTCATTGTATCTCGCTTTGAACCAAAATGTGTTCATTTAAATGAATGGCTTTACTTGGTGGCCACTGTGACCAAAGAAAGTTGTCATGGTAACCTTGATAGGATAATAACTACATGTTATTTTCAGGTAGTTATTAGGTCTATAAGGCTGTAGAGACTGTGTAATCAGGTGGCCATTTATTCTGGAAGATGTGGGTTTCTCTCCAGTAGAGGAGACTAGAATGGGTTGATTAAAATGAATCTGCTGTAGTAGGATCCAGTAATGAGATACAGACATTTTTTTCCTTGTCTATCAAAGACAATTACTGGATGGCACTCTGATTTATCCGCTGGTAAAAATATTCTAAGGCTGTTTAGAGGAGCCCAAGTGTGGATGCTAAAGAAGCTTTTGTTTCAGAAGTTAATTTTGCTCAAAGTTCTCCTCCCTTCCACATTGTTGCACTCTTGTTGTAATTACCATGATTGTGTTCTTTCCTGTGAGGCTGGATGAGATCTGTATTGCACTGCATTACACAGTGTACACATAACCAAAGTGCCAATTACACCACTTGAGATAAGTGCCATCCTGTACAAAAAGAATGTGCTTAATTGGTCTTGTTTCATTTGAGCATTTCACAGTGCAAGTGCAAAGGGCTAAAATAATCACACAATTGTAGTTGCAAATGTTTAAAAAGTACTTGAAGTACTTTTGTGAAACAGATGATTGGGAAGCTTATCCAGTCCTCTGAGTCATACTACTCTGGTTATCCAGGAATCCAGAATTAAAGTTGAACGTGGATACTTCCAGATAGTTTTTGGAGCAGTTTGCCGAATTCATCATGTTTTTATGTAGTTACTACAAGAAAAAGAAGATGGGAACTAAAAAAAAAAAGCTTTTTTTTTTTTTCCAAACTGGGTACTAGGACTCTGAATCTCTCCAGGATCATGGCTTGCCCTTTAAAGCTATATAAGGTAACCATTCAGAAGCATCCACTTATTTACATTGACATCATGTTGGAGATAGTTGTGTCTTAGATTGTAGACATCCCTTGTAGGATGATTAAAAATAAAATTGCAATTCAAACCAACTCCCTCTGAGTCTCAAAACTGTCATGAAAGCAATCTGTTCACACAGTACTGCTATACAGCAGGACTGGATGCAGTCAGGATGTGAATAAGGGTGCTGTTGAACAGCATAACACATCCTCTGTAATATGACATGGAGAGCACATCAATCTGTGCAGAGCAAATGGGGTCAAGCAGGAGCTGTAGCTCCTTTATGTGCCCCCTGGTAAATATGTCCTTCCTCTGAAAGCAAAAATACTGAAAATATATAGGGCTTCCAAAAGAAGGGACTTTGCTATTGGGTTTTCAAAGCTAATGGTTACACAATTTTGGTCAAATATCTGCATGCATGAGGCAAATCAGTGGATCCAGTTCAAGTGGTTGGTACTCTGTTAGACTCCCTAAATAATATTCCTTTAAAGAGATATTTACTGAATAGAAAAAAAATCATGTACGAACAGAAAATAATGGAGTGGAGGATCATTTTTGCACAGGTGCTGAGGAAGAGCAAGGAGAGAGTCTGCATTTGCTTCTGTAAGTAATATTTCTGCAGGGAGTAAAAGATTCATGAAACAATCTCTGTGATGGTTGAGTGTAAGGTAACTCTGCAACCACAAATATAGCCAAGTTGTTCCTCCTTTGAGAACGATGGTCTGCGTACAGATGTGTTGTATCTCTGAAGAGAACAAGTAGTCTAAC